AGCAAGGTGCGGTTTGAGAACCCGCGCTGGACGTACTTGCTGTCGGAGATTGAGATGCTGCGCGGGCGGATCCAGACCGAGGAGATGCGAGTCTTTGAGGAGCTCCGCGACAGTGTGTTGGCTGCCAGCACGGCCATCCGGACAAACTCGAGGGTCCTGGCCGATGTGGACGTGGCAATCTCCATGGCTCAGCTGGCCACCACGCGCCAGTACACTCGCCCGCAGCTGGTCAGTGACAGTGACGACCCGCACTCGATCGCCAACGGGCGCCATCCGGTGGTGGAGTCGCAGCTCCTGGAAGCGAGCCGCCAGTACGTGGGCAACGACTGCACGTTTGAGCCGGAGAAAAGCCGGGTCCTGCTACTTACGGGTCCCAACATGGGCGGCAAGAGCACGTATCTGCGTCAGGTTGCGCTGACGTCGGTGCTGGCACAGATCGGCAGCTTTGTGCCGGCTGAGCGCGCGCGCCTGCACATTGTCGACGCCATATACTCGCGTATCGGCGCCCACGACAACCTGGCGCTGAACCAGTCCACGTTCATGGTGGAGATGAGCGAAACTGCCGACATTCTACGCCACGCCACGCCGCGGTCGCTAGTGATCCTGGATGAGATTGGCCGGGGCACCGCTACTGCCGACGGCATTGCCATTGCCTATGCCACCCTGCGCTACCTCCACGACCATACCAAATGTAAGGCGCTGTTTGCCACACATTACCACGAGCTGGTGCCGTTTGTCCGTCGCGAGCTCAGCGCCCTGGCGCCCCTCCACACTGCCATCTTTGAGGACGGAGCTGGCGGCTTTGCCTTCCTGCACAAGGTGCGGCCGGGGGTCTGCACACAGTCGCATGCCCTCTATGTTGCCCAGATCGCCGGGATCCCAAAGCCCGTACTGGCGATTGCCAAGGAGTTTGCGGCCCGACGACTCGGCTCGGAGTAACGTAAACAGTCTGGTTGTTATTTTCTCCTGTGCACTTTCTTGACTGTCTGCATTCTCATTCTGGCATTTGGAGATGACAACGCCGCGCAGACGCCGGTTCCGGCGGCAGATTGCCGAGTCCGACACGGACTCTGGATCGGATGGCTCACCCCAGGTCATCGACACAATAGCCATATCCGATGGCAATTCCGATTCTGGGGAGGTGCTGGTGGTTCCAAACAGCAACACCAGGTCTGACGACGAGGGCTCTACCGAGTCTGAGAACCCCACTACTACTAGTGACGATTCAGGCCACACTACACCTAGCGAAGACAGCCAGGATTCCGACGGAGACTATGACGACGACATTGCCGAGCTATCGATGAACCTGAGTGCGGCCACAATCGACTCTGAGCCACTCAGGCCCCCAGTGCAGACGGTGAACCTGGTTGATGCGGTTAGCCAGCGCTTTGACGACTATTCGAGTGGGCGGGTTGTTCCTGTCAATGCGGCTAGCTTAGTGCCGACCCATGTTGCCAATACGGTGGCCCATGACCTTGAGCTGAAGAAGGCCGGGCGGATCCCGGCTTCGTCGGCGCGCATGCAGGTGATACCCGGGAAGGAGAAGCTGGGGATGATGTCGCGCCAGACGCCGGCACGCAACAAGCCAACGGAGATTGCGATCCCGACGTCGGCTACAAAGGAGTACCGGTCTAGATACCAGCAGGCTATCAGGGACATGTATCAAGTTCCAAAGATAATATCGTCATCGCCACCGTCGCCTACAGCCATGAGGGAGCCGCCCAGGCGGGCACCAGCGCAGTTCAACGGGGGTGTTGGGCAGCAGCGAGCGGTGAAGCTGTCGGAGAGTACAATGCAGCAGATGATGGACGGGCTGGCGCGAATCTCTGTTTCCAAGGAGGAGTGTGTGGATACGCCGGCGGAGATGACGGTGGCGCTAAAGGACCACCAGCGGATGGGTGTCTCGTGGATGATGCGCAATGAGCGGCACAAGGACCGCCGTGGCGGGATCATAGGCGACGACATGGGTTTGGGGAAGACTATCCAGACTCTGGCGCTGCTAGTGGCAAGCAAGCCCAAGGGTGGCAAGCCGCATGGCACGCTGGTGGTTGCGCCCACGTCCACTCTCAGCCACTGGCGTCGCGAGGCCGAGACACGGGTCCAGCCGGGGCTGCTAAAGGTGCTGGTGTATCATGGCTCCAGCCGCTACCAGTACGCGAGAGACCTGTCGCGGTACGATCTGGTTGTGACGTCGTTCGGCGTGATGTCTTCCGAGTGGGTTGGGGCGAAAGAGCCGATTCTCCGGGATCTCAACAGCAAGCAGCGCGAGGAGCGTGACCGAGAAGTGCTGGGGGATTCATCGAATGGTCCGCTCTTCGGTGTTGTTTGGCGCCGGATCATTGTGGACGAGGCGCACGAACTGAAGAACCGGACTTCGATCCGGAGCGTGGCCTGCTGCGACCTGGTTGCTCGCTACCGCTGGTGTCTGAGCGGGACGCCGATCCAAAACTCGCTGGATGATGTCTATCCGCTGCTGCGGTTCCTGCGGTTCAAGCCCCACTGGCACTACTCGAACTTTTGTGGCCTGAAGCTCGAAAAAGACCAGGGACTGTCTGTGGTGAGATCGACTCTCGAGGCCATCATGTTGCGCCGGAATAAGGCGGCTGTCATGGGCAGCGACGCTGTTTCTTCGATGCGGCTTCCGAGCCGCCATTACTATATCCATCGCATCGATATTTCTGTGGCGGAGCGTGTCTTTTACGAGTGCATTGCGCAGAACGAGCTGGCCGCCTTTGGCGATGCGGAGATCAGCAGTGAGAATACTATTCAGCTCTTGAGCAGGCTCTTGCGCTTGCGCCAAACCACCAGCCATCCAAAAGTCACCTCCTCGGCCGCAGCAGCAGCCACGGCATTGGGTAGCTCGTCGGCGCTCCGGTACCTGTGCGAGGGCCATCCTATTGAGCTGAGCGTGGACAGATTCTGGATGCACCTGGAGGACGCCGTGCGCAATGTGCCCATTTCCGGAACGCCGCGTAGCTTTGTTTGCGGGGGATGTGGCAGCAACATGGGCGCCACTGATGCACTGAGTGTACATCGGTGCGGGGCGTTTATCTGCCACGGCTGCGTTCAGGAGAAGGCTACCGAGGGCGATTGCTTGCAGTGTACCAGACAGCGACCGGGCGGGTACTGCATTGCGGACGAGAACCTGGAGCTGGCAAAGTACGTCAGGGGCACCGGCCCCCTTGTTATCGACAAGCCGCTGATCGAGTGGTTCGGCAAGAACTTTATCACCGGCTCGAGTGGCACTGTGCGACCAAGCAGCAAAATGCGGCGCATCCTGCATATTCTCGAATCTATTCGGCGTGTGAACCCGCGCGACAAGACAGTGGTGTTTAGCGAGCATCTAGATCTGATCCGCCTTCTCTCGGACTACCTGTCGTCCCGCGGGTTCCGCAACATCACCTACCAGGGGAACATGGACAGCGCCAAGCGCGACAAGGCGCTGGAGGGCTTTTCCAAGGACCCAAACATCCCCGTGCTTATCATCAGCAAGAAAACGGGTGCGGTTGGGCTGAACCTTACCTCGGCGAACCATGTAATCATAGAGAGCCTGTGGTGGAACCCGGCCATCGACAGCCAGGCGGTGGACCGGATCTACCGTATTGGCCAGACCAAGGAAGTTCACGTCCACATGCTGATTGCGCGGCAAACTGTGGACGAGGATATGTTTGAGATACAAGAGCGCAAGCGTCGGCTTATCAATGCTGTGATCAGCGACCAGAGCAATGCCGAGGCCGCAAAGATTACCAGGGACGATATATTGGACATTTTGCGCCACGTCCGGCCTCGGTCGTAGAGTAGCTCTGGGTTACATTATGTGAATACAACTGATGGCGTAAGACTCGTTTGTTGGGGCCAGCTGTAATTGTCACTGTGCGTTGGTGGGAACGTGCACCCACGCCAACCTCTTTCGTTTGTAGGGACAGTATCAGCTCATTTAATGCCCACTTGTGGTGGCCTTTGCAAATGGTTTCTTCCTTGCTTCGCCGGGTATTTTCTCTCACTACTGTACCTACCTTTACTGCACCTATTCTCTCTCTTTCTCTTGGTATCAGGATAGCGTATAGGGATGGCCATGGCAAACGCACAGAGATCATCGGCCAACACACTGGATCGAGAGCCCATGGATCCGGTATACTGCGAGCTAGCAGACACGTACGACTGGGTGGCGGATGTTCTCTCTTTGTATCGCGTAGGCGGGTGGAAGCAGAAGCTGGTTGAATTAGCCGAGCCTCGTCCCGGCGACAAGATTATCGACGTGGCCGGAGGCACTTGCCAGGTTGCCGAGCGCTTCCTAACCTACCAAGACACTGTCAACAACGACAAGACCTCTACCATTCATGTGGTGGACTTTAACAAGGATATGCTCAGGGTTGGTCGCCACCGGCTTTCGCATCACCCATGGGAGGAAGATGGGCGCTTGACGTTTGCCCAGGGCGATGCCCAGAACCTAGTCGACGTCCCGGACAATGCCTATGATCTCTATAGTGTCGGGTATGGAATGCACAACTTCCCGGACCCCGAGAAGGCTCTCCGCGAAGCATACCGTGTCCTGAAGCCCGGTGGTCGTTTTGCGTGCCTGGAGTTTGGCCAGGTTGATGTTCCGATCCTGGGCCTCTTCACCAACCTATACAGGCGATACGGCTATGGCGCAATCGCCCATGTGCTGACCGGCAATGGCGAGCCGTACCGGCGCATGGCCGTGAGCACCGTCAATTTCACCCACCAACGCGAGTTTGCCAAGATGATACGCAACGCCGGGTTTCAGTTCGCCGGCAAGGGATATGAGGAGTATGGCTTTGGTGTTTCAGTTTGCTACATTGCTTTCAAGCCCGAGTAGCCGCTTCCAACCCGTTCAATTTTCAGTTAATGACAGGTCAGTCAGTGCCACTAAATACTACAAAAGAAGGTTCATCGCAAACATACCACAGCCCCCCTGGAAGCAGCTGTTGCTGCTCTCAAAAAACAAAAGGCAAATAAAAAGGGGGCAAAAGTACGGTTGACGAGAGCGGGATTCGAACCCGCGCCTAAAATAGACTGCGGCCTAAACGCAGCGCCTTAGACCGCTCGGCCATCTCGCCCGTGGTTGGAAACCAACATTCGTTAAAAAAGATTTTGGTATTGGTAGTCACTGGGCTGCTCCTGCCTTTGTGCGTAGCGGCTCTTTGCGTGCCTTTGCGCGGCGTACAAGCAGTACTGGGGGGACCAAAAGGCGTGTGTTGGAGGGGTCTGTGGGTGATAGGGAGCTGAACTGGGGGGGAGGGAGATTATGATCCATTGCCTTTTGTTGTTGAGCATGGGGCCAGCTGCTGCTCTCCTCTGCTGGACCTATTGCGGTTGTTTGTTTATTTACAGTTTGTCGCCATGGGAATTAAGGGCCTGAAGCAGGTAATTGCGGACCGGGCGCCGGCGGCACTGCGGACAGTGCAGTCGGAGCACCTGGTGGGGCGCAAGGTGGCAGTAGACGCGTCCACGTCGCTGTACCAGTTCCTGATCGCAGTGCGTTCGGAGGGGCAGCACTTGCAAACGACCGAAGGCAAGCCCACGAGTCATCTGGTGGGCATGCTGTACCGAACGGCCAATATGATCGAGAAGGGGATGAAGCCAGTGTACGTGTTTGACGGCAAGCCGCCCGAGATGAAGGGCTGGGAGCTGGACAAGCGGCGCGAGAAGCGGGCCAAGGCCGAAGAGAGTTTAAAGGCGGCCAAGGAGGAGGGCGATGAAACCGAGGTGCTGAAGCAAAGCAAGCGGCTGACGCGGGTTACAGGGGAGATTGTCGAGCAGGCGCAGCGGCTGCTTCGGCTGATGGGCGTGCCGTTTGTCACGGCGCCGTGCGAGGCCGAGGCCGAGTGCGCGATGCTGGCGCGGACCGGGAAGGTGTGGGCGGCGGCGTCGCAGGATATGGATACGCTGCTGTTTGGCACGCCGGTGCTGCTGCGGAACCTGACCACGCCCGCCGCGCAGAAGCTGCCCATCGAGGAGATCAATCTGGCGGAGGTGCTCAAGGGCCTCGAGTTCTCGCAGGAGCAGCTCATTGACATGGGCATACTGCTGGGCTGCGACTACTGCGACACGATCCGCGGCGTCGGGCCAAAGTCGGGCTACGAGCATATCAAGCAGCACAAATCGATCGAGGGCGTGATCAGCAGTGTGGAGAAGGTGGCGCGTGGCGTGCCCGAGGACTGGCCGTTTGCGCAGGCGCGGGAGCTGTTCCGGGCGCCTGACGTGTCGGACGGGTCAGAGGTCGACCTGACGGCCAGCAAGCCCGACGTCGAGGGCATGGTCCAGTTCCTGGTGGGCGAGATGGAGTTCAGCGAGCAGCGCGTGCGCGCAGTGGCGGCCAAGCTCGAAAAGGCGGCGGGCAAAGGCCAGCAGGTGCGGATCGATTCGTTCTTCAAGATCACCACCAAGCGCAAGGACGCGCCGGCCCCCAAAGGAAAGGGAGCTTCAAAAAAGAGCAAGAAATAGACGCGCCCGAAGGGTTCCAAGATGACGCATCTCACCTCCCCATCTGCGATCAAAAAATTTCGTCGTGCTTTATCTCCAGCTTGACTCCACTCATCAATAATTCCCGTATTATTCGCACTAGTAGAATGGCCTCGACCTCCTCTGCATTCCACAAGGCCGGCGACGACCTGCGCATCGCCGGGTATGACCCGCTGGTGCCGCCCAACATCCTGCAGATGGACCACCCGCTGAGCGAGCGCTCCGAGGACGTGATCGCCAGCGGGCGGAAGCAGGCGTCGGAGATCCTGCGCCGCAAGGACGACCGGCTGATCGTCGTGGTCGGCCCCTGCTCGATCCACGACCCGGCCGCCGCAATCGAGTACTGCAAGCAGCTGAAGACGCTGGCTGACGAGCTCAAGGACGACCTGTGCATCATCATGCGCGTGTACTTTGAGAAGCCCCGCACCACGGTGGGCTGGAAGGGCCTGATCAACGACCCGGAGCTCAACGACACGTTCCAGATCAACAAGGGTCTGCGTGTGGCGCGCGATCTGCTGTGCAAGATCACCGATCTGGGCATGCCTGCCGGCTGCGAGCTTTTGGACACGATCTCGCCGCAGTTCCTGGGCGATCTCTTCTCGTGGGGCGCCATTGGCGCGCGCACGACCGAGTCGCAGCTCCACCGCGAGCTGGCCTCGGGCGTGTCGTTCCCGGTCGGCTTCAAGAACGGCACGGACGGCAATGCCACCATTGCCGTCGACGCGATCCGCTCGGCCAGCCACCCGCACCACTTCCTGGGCGTGACCAAGAGCGGGCTGGCGGCAATCACCGTGACGCGCGGCAACCCGCTCTGCCACATCATCCTGCGGGGCGGCAACAGCGGGCCCAACTACGCGAGCGAGTGGGTGTCCAAGATCTCGGAGCAGATCGCCAAGGCCAACGTGGTGGATAACATCATGATTGACTGCAGCCACGGGAACTCGAGCAAGGACCACCGCAACCAGCCAAAGGTGTGCAGCGACGTTGCCAGCCAGGTCGCTGCGGGCAACCGCGCCATCGTGGGCGTCATGATCGAGAGCAACATTGAGGAGGGCCGCCAGAACATCCCGGCGGAGGAGGCCGGCGGAGTCAAGGCGCTCAAGTATGGCCAGAGCATCACCGATGCGTGTGTCAGCTGGGAACAGACGATCCCGATGCTGCGCGAGCTGGCTCGGGCTGTCCGCGATAGGCGTAGCTGCGAATAGAAAAGCCCGACTCCTTCCTCTATCTCTCTCTTCCCACCCATCCTTCCGCTTTCTCTTTCCCTTTCTCTTTGGTTCCTTCCGTAGCAAATGGTACCTTCATCCCAGCTGCCGCCGTTCGAGACGCTCAAGGTCGAGCACCACGGGCCCAGCGTCCTGGTCATGGCGTTCAACCGGCCCACCCAGATGAACGCAATGGTCCCCGAGTCCTACCGCGAGTGGCGCCAGGTGATGGAGCATGTGCACGCCACCCCAAAAGTGCGCGTGCTTGTGATTACGGGCAAGGGCCCTGCATACTCGGCCGGGCAGGCCCTAGTCGACGCCAAGTCTGAAGACAGCGAGGTTATCCGCCGTCGCTGCGACGTCACGCGGGAGCTGACTCGCCTCCTGGTCACATCGCCCATCCCAATCATCGCTGCGGTCAATGGTCCGGCGATTGGATACGGGTGTACGACCCTGGGCCTCTTTGATCTGGTTCTTGCTTCCGAGTCCGCACTATTCCGGACGCCGTTTGCTGAGCTGGCTTTTAGCGCCGAGGGGTGCAGCTCGGTGACATTCCCGCGCATCCTGGGCCCGGCAACAGCCAATGACATGCTTCTGTTTGGCAGAACCATGTCCGCTCGGGAGATGCACCAGCGGGGATTTGTTGCGCGCCTTGCCAAGCCGGAGGAATTGATGCCCCTGGCGATCAAGCTGGCGCGGCAGCTAGCTAGCCGCCCGCAAGAGGCAATCCGGACCTCGCGGTCCCTTCTCCGCACCAAGGAGTATGTGGACGAACTGGTGCGTGTGAACGACCTGGAGATGGACCATTTTTATCGCTGTCTTATCTCGGATGATGCACGGCAGGCAATCTCTCACATGATGGCTCGTCTGCGAGCCAAGCGCAGCAACACTAAACCAAAGATGTAAGGGAAGGGTTGGAAAGAAATTGCGTGTCCTACTGCCATCGTTAAATGATGGCTGAATCGCTTGCGAGGTTTCCTCCTCCCTTTTTTTTCTCATTTGCCTTTTGTGTGTGTGCCATGCATCTCGTTAGACGCAGGATGCTTCCAGACGACGGTAGTTTATACGCCATCAACTTTCTCTTACACTTAATATAACGCGTCAATGGACGTTCGGGGGGGGGGTATTGTTCTGCCCAGTTGACCAACATAGAACCTGCCCACATTCCACTCTTGTGACTTTTTTTTTTTCTGGTTATATATTCTGATACTTTTTTGATATGGTTCCACGTGCACGCGAGTTGCCAATTGCAGTGGTTGTTGGGTCGTGTGTGGCACAGCTGGTGGATAACATCACATACACCATATCCCATGCCTGCTTACCACACTTGTTTGAGGACATGGACTTGGCCGGCGAGTCCAAAGTCGGTCTGATAACGACAATGTTTGCTGTGGGGTCTCTGTTGACTAGCGTCCCCTCGGGATTTCTCAGCGACAGGCTGGGAAGCCGCAAAATACCCCTGGTGCTCGGAGCAGCCGGCTATGCAGTCAGCGGGTGTGTGCTGCTGTTCTCGCACAAACTGTGGCATGTCTTGGTCTACCGCTTTCTGAATGGAATGGCATCGGGCATGGTATACCCGGTTTCAACTGCGGCGGTGGGTGATGTTTATCCACACAGGCTTCTCGGCCTACAAATGTCTCTTCTCAGCGCATCCAACAACGCTGGGTACATGATCGGCCCTGTTCTGGGAGGCGTGCTCTACGACCATGCCGGCGTCCGTGGCGTATCGGGCGTAATAAGTAAGACCAAACCGCCCACAAAAAGAAACACAGCACAGCACATACTGTTTATTGAATGGTGGGTGGAAAGATGGGTGGATTGTAGTGGCCATTGGTAGTATATTGTCACTGGCGCTTGCCCTGGGAATCAAGGAGCCTCTGCAAATACACGACAAGCTGATGGAGCGGAATGTGGCCGCCAGCGACTCCAGCGAGCTGAGCAGCGACAAGGTCATGTTTGCCGACGACATCGAGTCAACTGACCTCGGGTCCATCGACCTCGGATCATCCACCTCGATCAGGAAGGACATGCCCCTTTGGAAGCTGATACTTAAATGGCAAGTGTTTTCGGCGTCCATAACGACGCTTTCGCTGGCCATGCTGATGAGCTCCCTCGACAATGTACTGTCGATCCACATGAAGGATCGGTTTGGCGAGACCGCTGCAAAAACGGGGCTCTTGTTTGTGCTCAATGGCGGCGTGGCAATCATCCTCGCCATGCCCACAGGGTCTGCCGTCGACTGGGTGATTGGACGCTACGGAGAGTCCGCACGGTCCTTGGTCCAGCTGTCCGGGTTGCTGCTCACCAGCGGCGCCATTTTCGCCATCGGAATGAGTACGTCATTCCGGATGATCATCGGCGTCGAGGCCTGGCTTTCAATGGCCCTCTTG